TATTTTTAGAAAAAAAATTAAAATTTACTTCGGAATTTTCCGAGGCTTGCGATAATATATACTCCCTCCGTCCCAAATACGCTGCAACATTTCATTTTTGGTATGTCCCAAACACTTTGCAACATTTCCAAAATAGGAAATAATTAATTATACTTAATCTCTATCACACACCTTATCCACTCACATCATCCAAATAAAAAAAATAAAATATATATTTCTTTCTCCGTCACATCACCTAATTTCTAAATTATCCTACTTAATACTACCTACCTAAAAACTTGTGCAAAAAATAAATGTTGCACCTTGTTTGGGACGGAGGGAATATTATTTAAAAATAATATTTTAAAATTTTCTTTAGAAATTTTCGAGGCTAATTTAGATAGTCTCGGAATTTCCGAAGCTATATGTGTCTCGGAATTTCCGAAGCTGTCTTGTTTCGAAAATTTCGAAACTATCCGAATTAGCTTCGGAAATCCAAGACTACACAAGATTAGCCGCAAAAAATCAGTTATGGATCTATTTCCGAAACCATGTCCGAGGCTAATGGAAAATAAGTTCGAACATAGTTTATTTTCAAAACCAATTTTCAGAGGCAAAACTTATAATTTATGGCAGTGTAATTTATTGAAAAAAATAAAATTTATAGAAGGACAATTATGTCATTTAGAATATAAAAAATCCAAATCATTTCACTAATATGAAAAATAAATAAGATTTGAGAAATATAAATCAGCCAAACATAGGATAAGATTTCAAATCCTTAATATAACATTTCATCACATATAAATCTTATCGTAAAATCTCAATATCATATAAAAAGTCCATGAATCAAATGAGAATTTCATCCAACCATTCACATTGTCAGCATCTCCCAAAATTCCATAGTTCTTTTTTCATTTTCTATTCCCTTCTTTCATTTCATTATTTTGTATTCTTTTATTTCTTCTTGTTTGCTTATTATCTTTGTTGGTACATTTCTTTTCCTTCAACTTTGTTTGTTCAATACATTTTAACAATTTACATTCATCTCAATTAAATTCAATTGTCATCTTTTCTATTCTCTTATTAATTTAGTTAGTTTAGTTATTTTCTAGAATAAGTATCACTAAAAAAAAAAAATACTTATTTGTAGTTGTTTAAAAAGCGTTACAAATGAATAATTTTTGTTATAAAATGCTATTTGTAACGACTTTGTACCGAATTTTGATCGGTGCATATACCCGAATTAGAAAAAGTCTCTCTACCAATATTTTTCGTAACAAAAAGTGGACAAATAACACACTTATAATGCACGTGAGAAATTTTTTTGTAACAATTTTTTTAACGCTCGCAATGTATTTTCGATTTATTTATAACGGATATTTATCGTAATAAAAGAATCGTTACAATAATGGTTCTTGCATTTGTGACAACTTTTATTACGGTACGAAATTCGTGACAATAAGTTGAATGTCAGAATAGTATTTTATATGTCTGATATAGTTTTTGTACTGGTGTTTGTAATGACAACAATTTGACAAAAAATACCATACCTTTTTTTTTTTTTTCCAGTAATAACAAAAAAAAATCTGTAACAAAACCCGCAAACTTGTACAATGAGAGAAAATACTACAGATGATATTACAAAATATAAATTTGTTACATCAAAAATGTATTACCATTAGTTTCATCAAGTACACATTGTTTAGGAATATAACTATTTGTCAAAATGGTCTAAAATTAACAATCCAAAAACTATAACTCTTTAAATTATAATTCTAAATCATGTTGACACTACCAAAAAAATGGTCATTTGTAGCGAAATCTTAGTCGCTATAATTTTCTTGCTACAAAAGCTATTTTTTTTGTAGCAGATATTACCGTAACAAATGATATTTTTGGTATGGTCAACACCTTTTCTTTTGTTGCGGCATATTTCTGTTACAACTACAATAATTTTATTTTAAATTTCAAAATAAATCTAAAATAATCTAAAATAATATATCATATTTACATATATATATATATCATATATAATAGACATAATACTTATATATTAATATATACAAATTAAATACTTATATATTAATATATACAAATTAAAATTAAAATAATTATTTATTTAAAAATAATAAAATTTTAAAATAAATTTAAAATAATCTAAAATAATATATCATATTTACATATATATGTATGCCATATATAATACATACATAATACTTATATATTAATATATAAAAATTAAAATTAAAATAATTATACTTAAAAGATTTATTTTAGGCAAAAACTAATATCCCCTACAAATTATACTTAATATATACAAATTAAAATTAAAATAATAATTATTTATTTTGGAAAACGATTTAAATTTCCTCAACAAATTATTTTTTCATTTTACGCAAAAACTATGTTATATATTTTCGCCCATGATTATTGAGGCCTAGAATGCACGCAACCAACCCGCCCAAATTAAAGCCCGGATCCGGGAACCCGCTACCTGACCCGAATCTTTGTGAGACCCATCGGATCATAGGATGCCTGGATCTGGACCGGTTTGAACCGGTCTGGTCTGAACCAGGGTTGAACCGGTATGCTCTCTATATATATAAGCTGGATCCATTGAACCGGTTCATACACTTCATTCCAGAGTACATACGATACAGAACAGGTTCTCTCCTCACTCGATTCACGATTTCATCTCTTCCAGCCCAAGCGATTCTGATCGACGTCGCCTGCGTTCTCCGGTGAATCTGTCCGGCGAGTTGGGAGTTTCTTCTTCTCCTTCGATGCGCACCTTCCCCTTGGTGTTTCTACGGTTTGATTGCTCGATTTGTGCCTTATTGTTGGTTCGCGGTGTAACTTGTCTGCAATGTGTTTAGGCTTTAATTTCGGCAATGTTTCCTTAGATTGGGTTTCAGTTTAGTGTGTTTGTTGCGTTTCCGTGGCGTGTCATTTGTGGTTGGGTCTTGGATGTGTGTTCGGTGTCGGTTGGTTTGATATTAGGGTAAACTGAGTCCAAACTGTTTCTTCCGTAATAAATCGAAGTTTTCTTTAAGTTTTCTTCGATGTTGATTTGATTTCGAGAGAATATAGCCTATTGGATCTTGGATTAGTAATAACAAGTGGTATAAGAGCTTTTAGGTGGCTAACTCACTGTTTCTTTTGAATTTGATAAATCTCGGTTTGTTTTCTGTTTTGGCTAAAAATTGAAATCGTGATTTGTCCTCTGTTTTTTTCCCAAATCTTGAAAACGTGAGTTGTTCTTTGTTTTGTTAAAAGGACTGAAACTGATTTTTCCCTAATTCTTAATCTAGGTTGCTTGTTCTCTGTTTGTGCGAAACCTTGAACTGTTTGATGTTAAACTGCCATCGTTTATAAAGTTTTGCTAAAATCTGTTATTTGAAACAAGATTGTTACTTGCGAAACTTGTTTGAATGTGATCTGTTTCATCTTTGTTTGATTATAGTGGGATTGATGTTGTGATTTATTCAATCCTGTAGTTTTGAAATACAATCTGAAAGTTGAGTGATTGTTACTTTGAGGGTTTAGAACTTGAATACTATAATCTTGATCACATTGGCCTAAAAGTGAAACTAAAAGTTGTGTATCTGGTATAAGTCTGTCTTACATGTGACATTCTTGGTTGAATAGGCTGTTGGTTAGTATAATCATTTATTGTGCCATCCAAGCTATACTAATTCGTGTATTGAGTGTGCAGTTTAAGAGATGTAATAGGTTGGCAACAAAAAGGGATCCTAAAGACAGTCAAAGAACTGTTGTAGAGCTAGGAGTGGGTAACGAATAGCTTATCCCTCTAATTTTTTGATGTAGTAACTATTTTTGAGTTCTACTTGTGTTGTTTGCTATCTTTTTGGGTTGTGCAGTAACTGATTTTTGTGTTACTTGCCTAAGTGTCAAATCTATTTTGGTCAAGCCTTGGTTGTGAAAATAGATTGGAGAATAGCTGTTGTTTTGCCTTATTTATGATTGTGTTTTTGTTTGGCTAGTTTTAGATTTAAAGGTTTTTTCAAGTACTTTGAAAGTTTGTTAAAATCTTTTAAGAATTGTAAACCAACCATTGTTCTTGATTTTGCCACTTTTTGGTTATATTTGAGAAAATCACAGTTGGTTTGATTAAGAATTGTTAAAATCAAAACTGTTTTTCTTAAAATCAGTTAAGTTGATTTGTTGTAGACTCTCTGTTTTCTGTTCCATTCTTTCTTGTGCCTTATATCCCGTGGATACATTAAGTGGTCCATTTTTCATTGGCTAACCCCTCATCTCGAAAGAGAAAGAGGTTTTCTGTATTTTTCCTTGTTGTGTTTGTAGAAGTTCAGATATATTGCAAAAATCTAGATATTTTGGTAATGATATATTTTCAGCTGTGCAATATTGTGAAAATTGTGTTGATAATAAGCAAACTAAAGTCCATTTTCCCTTACCCCATGTTGAAAAACGTAAATGCTCTAAATATATCTTGGAATATATACATTGTGATTTGTGGGGTCCCTCTTGTGAGTCTACTTTTGGTGGTTCTAGATATTTTTTAACCATTGTTGATGATTTTTCAAGAAAAACTTGGGTTTTATTAATGAAAAATAAATCTGAAGTTTTTGGGTTTTTTAAAAATTGGAAAATTCAAGTTGAAAGTGAAACGGGCAAAAAAATTAAATGTCTTCAAACTGAAAATAGTTTAAACTTTTGTGACACCTTGTTTGATAACTTTTGTGTACTGGTTTATTTCAAATGGTCTATATATGATGAAAGTTATACTGACGTTTGAATTCATGATTGTGGATTGAGTTCTTAATTGAGTTAATTGTGGATGATTGAATTAATATTAGCTATAGGAAAAAAGAAGAAGCTATTTTAGGACAAAATTAGCAACATAATTATTCTCTTGCAACGTTCTAATGCTCTATAATGCTGTGACGGAATTAATATGCTCTCTCGTATTCCAACAGATGCCGGGATTATATGATTATATGATTGACATTTGATAACGTTTTTCATGTAGATCGGGTCTCGTATTCTTCTCATATCTCGTGGTTTGGAAAAAAACGTTGTTGGTGAGGGGGTGTTGCTATCCGACCCTACCCCAGGTTTGTTGTCAACCTAGTTATATTATCTATATGAAATCGGTTTTGGTTGCAGCCATTTTAAGTAAAGCATATTCTATGGTTATTAGTTAGTCAAAATACTAATACATGATATGGTGACAATGCAATTTATATGGAACTGTAATTGGGTGGTTGTTTGCTCTGTATGACCTTGTTGGGTAGCATATAAATCTATAATTAAATATTTTTGTAGGTTGGTGGGTAAATTGATTTTTTTCCTCAAACCACTTTGATTTTTGATGTAACTTATGTGTTAGGTATTTGGATACATTAACAGTACTCAATTAATTGTTGTTTTTAAATTTATACATGTTTAAGTTGGTTGTTTAAACAAACAGCTTTTCACATGTATCAAATAAATTGATCACGTTGCTGGTTGTTTTATACTTGTGGGGTTTTACAGATGTTGGTCCGGATGTCATCACGATAGGACCATGCTATAATTATAGTTATACTAATCTATATTTTACAATTTTGATTACGCTGTTGTATGGATGGTTAAATTAGGCGATCATCTCCGACCTTTTCTCTTATGTATGCTATAATGTTTTAGTTAATATCTTTAATATTTTATATGGATTATATAAAACGTGAGTCTATTTTCTTTCCGATGATTTGCACATGTTTTCTTTATATGTCCATAGGTGACACTGTTGACATAGTAAGGGTTTTTGTTACATCTGCTACTGTTCCGGAGGCTGCGCTTATTCTACGGACAATCTCCGGAGCACAAACACTCGGTGAGGTTGTCCGCGCCGAGCCAATCGACTGGACATTTAAAGATGTACGCAACCACATTTACAAGATTTTCTATTGGATTACAACTTAACCATCTCACAAATAAATTCTTATATAATTTTGCACAATGTTGGCAGCTTGTTCGTCGCCCATAACTACGGTGTACGGCCACTTTGACGGTGCATGGGGCGTTGCAGCATGGCACGTGATTCTATGATGATTGACGTTTGTTTGTGGATTGATGCTAACTGAGTCCTTTATGTTGGTTGAACTTGTTGTCTCTGCTATATTTTGTGTGTTTGTTGCTACGCTTTGCCATATATGTTAGGCTATATTGCGAAATATTTATGTTTCTACAGAGTGCGTACTTGCTACAACTTATGGTGATACAGAATTGCCGTAATATTTCCATATTTTGTAATGTCATTTGGCAGTATTTTCTCACATCGTACAGGTTTTTGGGTCCCGAAACCATTTTTTTTAGGTTATTATTGAAAAAATAAGGAAACCTTTTTCGATACAATAAATTGGTCGTTACAAATACTGGTACAAAAAATATTAACTAGGTTTCTGAAAACCAACTATTGTAACGAATTACTACCGTAACAAAATCCGTTACAAGTGGATAAGCATTTATTGTAACGATTCTTTTATAACGGTAAATGGACGCTACAAATAAATCGAAAGTACAATGATAGCGTTACAAACACTGTTACAATAAATGCGTTGACCACCCATTTTTTGTTGCGGAAAAAGTCGGTACAGAGACTTTTTGTAACTCGAGTATATGCACCGGTCAAAATCCGGTACAAAATTATTACAAATAGCTTTTTGTACCAAAAAATGGTCATTTGTAGCGGTTATTGAACCACTACAAATGGCCATTTTTTTGGTAGTGTGAAACTGCCCCTTCTTGAGAAGACAGTCTACAATACACATCCAAAACATGGTTGCATCCAATTTCCTGCAAAGATCACGAGATTTGTTTGGATAGGAGTTTTTGGAAATTTGAAAGTTTGGAAAAAGTAAAAGGCTAGTATTTAATTTGATGTTTTGTGAGAGAAAAAATGTATTTGATGTGATATTTTTTGAAAAATAAATAGTGTCAAATGAGTAAAAATGTGTTGTGTAGACAAAACCAATTAGTCGTTTGTAAGGATTCTTTCATTATCACATTGTGATCTACGTCATGGAACGATGCATGATTTGTTTGTTGAGAACTCTCCATAGATGAATATGTGGAACTCCCTATTTATGTCATGGTGTTAGAGTGCACTTCCAAATCATAGTATTCAAGCGTCTTACTCCAATTACCTTCATATTCAAAAGTCACAATATGAGATGTTAGGTGCAACCAACAAAAGACAAAATGGTATTAGCATGATAAGACGTGATTATTTTAAGCATGTTTGCAGAGACCCTAGGTGATAACTCTTGATTTTGCTATATTTTATGGCTTATATTTATTTAATTAATTATTTATTTATGTCAAATTTTGATATTATTTAGATTAATTTATTTTAATAATTGTGTTTATTTATTTTGTGTGTAAAATATTAATTCATTAATTTTTAAGTATATTTTATAATTGTTTTGGTGTATAAATTAAATTAATTAATGTGTTTCTTTGAATTATGTTTTAGACATTATTTATGTGTTATTTAATTTCAAATAAATTAAATATTATAAGAAAATATAAATTAAATATTTTATTTTGGCAGATTTTTTTAGATAATTTATTTTATTTAATATAATATTTATTGTGTAATTTTTAATAAATATCAAGCTTTGTATTAATTACTGAATCTATATTAATGCAGTGCAAAAATCAGTGTAGTAGCGGCATTAACTCTGCACGATAACTGCGAGCGGCGGTTGCATGTACTTAGCACGGAAGGTCATGTGTAAAGGTGAGCGAAGCGACAGCTGCAGTGCGGATAGTGAGCGACGACTGCATGGAATTTGTGAGCAAGTGCAGAAAGCGAGCGCCAGCTGTGCAGAATTCCAGCGGCGGCTACACAGAAAGCAAGTGAGCGCGGAAAATATGAGCAAAGCAGCGGCCGGCGGATGCACGGAAAGCAAGCGGCGGCTGCATTTATGAGCGCGGAAACTTCATATGAATTTGAGCGATGGCGGTTGCACGAAAAACAAGCTACAGCGGCTGCGCGAAAAGCAGCAAGCGACTGTACAGGAACTGTGAGCGAGCGAAGCGGCAACTGTGAGAAAAATAAGCGGCGGCTACACGGAAAGCAGGCGGCAGTGGCTGTACGAAAACTGTGAGCGGAGCGGAAATCTCTGCATGGAGGTGAGCGAAGCGGCGGTTGTACCAAAAACAAGCGGGAACGACACGGAAAGTGAGCGGTGACTGCACGGAAATTTGAGCGAAACAGAGTTTTATATCCATTAATCCGTGAGCGGCGGCTGCATTTATGAGCACAAACTTGACGTGGAAGTGAGCGAAGCGACCGCTTAGCGGAAATTTGAGCGAGCGGCAGCTACATTTATTGCCACTGGGTCAGCGGCTGCATTTATTGTTCAGGCTCCATCAGCTCCTGCATTTACTGCACTCTTCTGGCTCCTCTATTTACTGCACTATCCTAGTTTCCTTAATTAAATTCCTGTACTATTTCTTAGTTAATTTTTTTGTTGTTTTGTATATAATTTTATTCTAGAACCTTCTTGGAAATAGGTAGTTATTAGTAGTTATATTAGTAACTATTTTTAGATGTAGTTATTTATGGTAGTTAGTAGTTATTTTTAGAGGTAGTTATTTATGATTATTTTTAGAGGTAGTTAGTAGTTATTTTTAAAAGTACTTATTTATGGGCGGTTGTAACCGCCAAGTTTCTAGTAGCTTTTCCCCTTATAAATATCCCCTCTAATTATATATTATACATCCATATATACATAGCCATACATCCAATCCATCATTCCATACACTTCATTTTCTCCATTTCTTTTTCTCCATATTTTTATCTACTTTAATAATACATGATTTTCGATTTTGTGGCACAAGCAAACTTATTTTCTCCTCGTTTTCTTTTAATTTCCGCATATTATTTTAGCTAATAAAATTCCTATCATACTTATCCACCTCACCTTCAAAAAAATATTTCATGTTCGATTTGAATTGTTCAAGTTAGATTTCGACAAGGTTGCGGAAGGGTGACAGAAGAATCGACTATTTCAGCCTAGTTTCGCGTCGTATTCATTAACAGATTCTAGGTAGTTCAACATAGCTAAGTACGCGGGAGCCTTGTCGACCTTCTTAGTTGCTATTTTGAATTCGATTCCGATTAAAGAGAGGTATCAGAGGGGTAGAGCCACTAGCGGAACGGTTGGAAGAATAATTCATGGGGCATAGGCGCTTGCCTATCGGGTCACATAAATTTCCGGTGACAACAGCTTCTCTTTTAAATAATGTTCTTCTCCGGGTGTCACTGAAGCCTTATTCTAAATTCCCTAAGGTCAAGTACCAACCGAGTTGAGATTCGGCTTAAGCGAGCAAATACGATCACACTTCTTCCTCCGAGCTGCCCCGCAATTATACATATATTTTTCGCTATCACACTATCATCATCCCGCCCATTTCATCCATGGAGATCTAGCCATTAAGGAATGCAAAAGTCACATACAAACGCCTCGCTTTATCCTTTTCGAGATACGTATCTTTTATCACTTTTTAGTTAGATTTAATTTCTGCAATTTATTTTTTCAGTTTTTCGATTACATTAATTCATTGCACTTTTTCTAATTGAATATAGGATATTCACATAATCTCTGAGTTCGACCCAGACACTCACTAATTAAAGATATTTTTTATTTTTGACAAAATTTTTGGAGTTACTACACGAACACGCTCAACATTATTTTCATTTTATACATATATCATTTTTGTATCTTAAAAGATATTTTTAAATCTCACAAAAAATATTCGATCAAGTTTTAGCGTCGTTGCCGGGGAATAAGCCTAGTATCTTTGTTTTAATTGGAAAATATTGAGTTTAATGTTAATTTAATTTTAATATTGAATTTTATTTTATTTTGATTCTTATTTCTAATTTCTTATGGCATATATATAGCCAAATTACATTGATATTAGTCATCATAACTGATGACTTGGCAACATAATTGCATGACACATACAAATGAGAAAATATGAGTCATAACACTTCCCCTCATGTGTCATTTAATTGCAATGAATACGTCTCGTTAAAATCTTACTAGGAAAAAATCCAACAGGAGAAAAATCCTAGTAAAAGAAAAAGAGTACGTCATTCATGCATTAAAAATACTTCCTCTGATGTGGACATCACTTGAAATATCGCTCTCCCTGATGTGGACACCATTTGAAATCTTGCAACCGACGCATCCCGATGATTTTTACTAATTTCTCGAACGTTGCGGTTGGTAAAGCCTTGGTTAATAAGTCTGCTAAATTTTGGTCTGATCGAATCTGCTGCACATTTATTTCACTATTTTTCTGGAGATCATGAGTAAAAAAAAATTTCGATGAAATATGTTTCGTTCTATATCCCTTGATATATCCTTTATTCCGTTGCGCTATACAAACTGCATTATCTTCGTACAAAATAGTAGGAGGATTATCATTTTCAGATTTCAAACCACAATTATGTAAAATGTGGTTAATCATTAATCTTAACCAAACACACTCTTGATTAGCCTCATGAATTGCTATTATTTCTGTATGATTTGAAAATGTGGCGGTTAATGTTTGTTTAGTGGATCTCCAAGATACCATTATACTGCCACAAGTAAACATATAGCTAGTGTGAGACTTGGTTTTATGCGGGTCAGAAAGATACCCAGCATCTGCATATCCAATCAATTCATGTCAAGATCCTTTTGGATATAATAGGCCGAGATCAATAGATCCTTGGAGATAACGAAAAATATGTTTGATTCTTTTCCAATGTCGTTGTTTTGTCATTGCACTACATCTGACCAATAAATTTACAGCAAACGCTATATCTGGTCTAGTACTGTTAGCCAAATACATTAGTGCACCAATAGCACTTAAATATGGTACTTCAGGACCAAGTGTTTCCTCATTCTCCTCTTTTGGTCTAAAAGGATCTTTAATATGATAAAGAATTCTACCGACCATTGGAGTACTTAATGAATGTGCTTTATCCATTACAAATCGTTTCAATACCTTCTGGGTATATGCAGATTGATGTATCAAAATTTCATTTTCCAGATGTTCAATTTGTAGACCAAGACAAAATTTCGTTCTCCCGAAATCTTTAATTTCAAACTCCCTTTTCAAATATTCAATAGCTTCTTAGGCTTCTCAAAGGGTTCCAATTAAATTCAAGTCATCCACATAAACAACTATTATCACAAAATTTCTCCCATATTTTTTTATAAAAACACACGGACAAGTAGAATCATTGGCA